TACATTAACCCGTGCGTGTGTGTATTTCTGGGGGAGAATGTCTGAGAGTACACAAAGCGATAAAGTCACAATTTAGCAAACAGCAAACACCTGTCGGCCGTCGGCCAACCCTGGTGGGGGTGCCGCAGTCAGCAGATGGTCACGCTTACGGCGCAATCTCAGAACACCAGTTTCTCTTCACTGATCCTCACAGAAGCCCTGTCATACGCCCTCCCCCGCTGATCGCAGGGTAGTTCTGGATGGCATGCCTCCTTAAGTATTCACCTAGTAAGAGGACCTATCAGTTGAATTGGTAAGCAACTGCAGGAAGAAACATCCTCTGTTCCAGACCACTGTGACAGGGTCACAACAATGACCTGGTACAGGCTCTGGGCTCAGTACAGTGGTGGGGAATCCAGTACTGTGATCTTGTGGAACTGCTACCTTTGAGACTCTGTGCAGTGCTTTGATAAATTCAAACTTCTAGCTGAGTCCTAAAGTTTGTACCTGAGAGATAGCATCTGTTCTACTCAGACGTCAACCAAATGCTACCTTCTGCATTTTGTCACAAGGGCATGGGGAAAAGTTGCAGAAAAGAAAACCAACTTATACTTGAATTAGACATACTGGAGAAGGAAACGGAACGTGACTGCAGAAGTTGAGGAGCGGAGTCTTAGGAGAGGCGCGGGGGGGGGGGCTCGATAGGCAGAAGTCTGTGCAGGTCTTTCTCTGGTGGCCTGGCATTTGCTAAGATGACATGTGAAGGTGGCTGAGTGTCTGCCACATGAGTCTGGGCTTAGAGACATCGGGGACACAGAACCCCTGGGGACAGAACGTGAGGCCTCCAGCAGCTGTGGAGGTCAGTGCCAGCTAAGCATGGTGGGACACAGCGTGGGACATCAGGCTGCCATGGGGGACCGTGGCCAGAGCGCGCCTGACCTGCCAGCCACGCATGGCCTGTATCTACTGCGAGGGTGAAGGCCATGAATAACTTACTTAGTTGTCTGATCTTTTCCAATGGAGTCTAAGGGCTGACATATCTAGTTATATTGTTTAAAAACTGTGGGGCTTCTGTTAAGGGTTATAATTCAGTAAGGATCCGCCGGGGTGCCGGATAGAAGTGGCCCTGGCCTTGCTAGGGCGCAGCGGCGTTTGAGTGAAGGGCGCAGGAGCACAAGGCTGCCCTGGGTTGCTGGCCGGCCGGCGGAGCCGCTTAGTGGGCGGATTAAGTTTTCCATGTTCAGGAGACAGACACCAGGAGCAGATGTCCGGCCGTGAGACAGCCATGTGCACTGCAGAGCGAGATCCGGGCTGGGGTTGGCGGACACCGGCCAGAAGATGTTTAAAGACCCCAGAAGAGATGAAGCCACGTGGAGAGACGCGGCCCAGAACGGGATCCTCGGCCACTCCAGGCCTCGGGGGAGCGCCAGCCAGTGGAGAAGCACGGCTGCGGCCACTACGGAAAGTCAAGAGACACGATGCGCTAGCAGCGGAGTGCGGAGAACAACGTGCTTGCACAGACAGCACCAGCACCTGCTGCAGGCCACGTCGAGGTTAAGATGAGGACAAAGGATGAGTGGGACTCACCGACCTGGAAGCCGTCATGAACCTCCAAGGGTAGTGGGGATCCCAGCATCCTTTCCCAGGAGGAAAGGTAAACAGGAGGCGAGAACTCAGCTCCTGCTGAGAGAGGCGCTACAAAGGACAGTTGCTGAGGGGCCAGGGATGCTGAGAAGCTGGCGGGCTGTGGCAAGGGTTCAAGGTGAGCCGTTCTTGAAGGCTTGCTGTGTGTAGTTAGGGGTCACTGCGGCCAGCCTGAGAGAGGTACTGCTGATTCTGGAAAGAGGCAGCACAACTGAAGAAGGAAAGCCCCCCAGAAGAGAAAGGAGGTGGGACTTGGTTCCCAGGGGCACAGAAGTTGACAGGCTTAGGCACTTGTGGTGCTTTAAACTCGCTTCTGATAGCTTTTGGCTTTTGTAATGAAGGAGGAGGTGAGAGCGTACGGAGGAGGACGGAGAGGGCGACAGAGGTTGTCTGAGGTGGGAGAGCTGATTTCCCAGGGGAGCGGCTGCAGGAGAGCTTCACATTTCAACCCCCCTTGAGATTTGTGGCAACCAATTTGAAGTCAAACCACTTTAGCACACTAATGTGTGTATCAAACGCTATTGTGATTACTTATCCCCTTGTCAGTAACTTCCACCAGAACATAAATTAGTTGAGAGACAAAATCCTAAACTGTTCCCTGTTGATTTCTGCGGTGCCTTGGAGTGAGCAGGGAATTCTCGGCCCAGTGGCCCATTGGAAGTAGAACGGTCTTTGACCTGTTTGGTAAAGCAGTAGACATTAGCAGTCCTTTAGGCGGTCACCCCACTCATTTTAGGTCAGCACCAACTTGGTAAAATATAAGACTCCATAGCATTTGAAAAACAATACTGTTTAAAGTAGTGATCCTGTCTGATCAATCTGAAACAAGACATCTAAGTAGTCAGAAAGTACTGAAAAGACAATCCTTAAGGAATACAGATTGCCTCAAGATCCAGCTGCCAAATGTAAAGCAAATGCTTCTGGTGGGCTGTAGGCTTGGAACAAGATGCACCATGGAGAGAAAGCACCCTGGGCGTCTACAGTGGCTGGCCAGAACCTCCTCTTCATTTGGCATCAATTAATGCCCATGGCTGACATAAGATTATGGTTGACTATCCTGCATGCCATGGATTTCTTTCTTTCTTTCCTTCCTTCCTTCCTTCCTTCCTTCCTTCCTTCCTTCCTTCCTTTCTTCCTTCTTTCTGTTCCCTGGTACACTCCAGGCACACTGGACCACCCTCATCACAGAGAACTTACACTTGCCCATGATAGGACTGAATTCCTTTCCCCTGCCTTCCCTTCAACCTCTCCTCCCTTGTTTCCATTTTTTTTCTTCTTTTCTCTTACTTTCTTATTAGAAATAATTTCTACCTTTACAAAATTTTGTTTTTGTTTTGCAGAACCAGGGAATGAACTAGGCCCTTGTGCTTGCCAGGTAAGCGCTTATTCTACTGAGCCATCTCCCCAGGCCCAGAATTTTGAAAAGTGGCAGGAGACACACACCCTCCTCCAGATCCACCCATTTCACTTCCTCCCACCCTTTGCCTTCGATTGCTTGAGCCTTCCCCGCCATCGCAGTTTCCCCACCATGGGCCATCCCGCTCACCCTCTCTCGGGACCAAGGCGAGGTCGCCAGCAGCCCTGGCCCTCCATGCCGAGGCACTCACCATCCTCAGGCCCTTGTTTGTACTCTTTGTCCTCCATCACTTCATAGTCGAAGCCGAGCAGGTCGATGGGAATCGTGTGCCTCCTGGCATAGTTCTGCTGGGCGCCAGTCAGGAAGGCTTGAGTGAAGAAGAAGCCGGACAGCCAGAAGACGGGGGGCGGCCCTGCTTCGTACCATTGCTGGGGTCAGAACACAGGCGCAGTTAGAGCCTCTGGTGTCAGAACCCAGCTCTCCCAAGGGGACAGTCCCCAGACGTGGTCATCCTGTAGGGAACTAGTGAATGTGCTGTGAGGAACGAGAAGCCTTACCCCCAGCCTTGCAAAAACACCCAGGAACATTTTCAGGGTTTGTTCCCCTCTCAACTTCACACCCGTTTAGGATTAACACATGGACGGATGCACACGGAGGGGTCTGTGGTTTCTTCAGACCCTCTCCAGGCCATAGCCCCACCAGGGGGCACTGTGGCAGTCTGTCACCATGCAGAGGTGAGCAGAAGATGTCCCCACAAACGCTGCTCATGTGGGAGCTGTTCTCAATTTTTTTCTCTCTAATTAATTATTAGCACCCTATACAATATTCTTCTGGAAATTTTTCCTCCTTCCTTACCAAAATACAATGAAAGCCAACACTAGGAAACATAATACTGCACAAGAACTTCTGAAACAAGCAGGGTAGTGAGAGCATAAGAGTTTAGAAATAGCAAAGGATCTTTCATTACCTATTTGACAAATATTTTAATCATGAGCTAGGTAAGTAGGGAAAGGTATGGGAACTGGGAGAAATGCACTTGAAACATTGTTCCCTAAGAGCCCACGCAGAAAGGCAGAAAGAGCCTCCTCTTTCAGCAATGAACTTATGCCCTTGGGGTTCTAATCTCATGCAAGAGAAGGCCTGTATGATGAAAAAGGTGGTTAGTCATCTTATTGGGCAGCGATTCCTGCTCAGTTGGAGTCTTACAAGAGGTCCTAGGAAACTGCTGGGCTCACAGCAGATGCGACTGCTACTAGGAGCACAGCTGAGCGCCAGCACTGCTAGGGACAGAGGAGGCAGGCTTGTGGCCATTCAGCAGTCCTGCAGCTGGTCATGGAAGTCGCTTCCATCTCTGGCAGAAGTAGGTGTCTAGAAGGTGGCACTAAGATATCAGTCCACGTTGCTGGTAGCCCATGTAGCCTTCTAGGATACGTGGCTATGGTTGTTTATGTTAATGCTATTTAATTGAAATTGAGTATGCCAAATGTTCCCTCCCTTCAGGTGTCAGCAACTTGAAGGTCTGACTTCACCAAACATGAGCACCTGCTCCTACAGGTTTTAGGCAGAATCTCTACCGCCCATAAGTCTCCTGCTGTGCCCAGGAGGTGGGACTTCCGGTCATAGCCCGGTTGCCTAGTTACTCGCGCCTTTTTACCCGCTGACGTCATTTCCCTGCGCCTCCACTATATATACCCAGCACCTCCCCTGAATAAACGGGCCTTGATCAGAATCCTGTCTTGTCTCTATTTCTCGCGTCTCCTTTCGTTTGTCCCCTCCTCAATTCCCCGCTCCTCTCCCAGGTGACCTTCGTTGACTGACCCGCTGGTTTGGGACACTTGGGACGAAAAAGGAAGCCAGAGGACACATAGCAAGATGCACTCATTTTGGATGCAATTACCTGCAGGAATTTGAGTCTTGAAAGGAAGTCGTTCACGTAGCTGCCCAGGGGTTTGAGGCTCGGGTAGGATTTCCCCATCCACATCCCTGGAATCTTGACATTCAGGATGCTGCTCACCACTTCTTCAAGGTCTGTAGACATCACCACGAGCCCCTGCGGGACATGTCGTGCGCGTTAGCACGACGGCATAGCTATGAGCCGCGCGCTCCTCAGGCGCTCTTCACGACTGCCCTTGCGCACACAAAGTGCAGGTGTTTCCTTTCTTCACTGCGGACACACCGAGCCTCTGAACTGTGCCTCAGAAAATACACAGGTGCCACTGGCCACATCGTAATGGGATGTTTAGTCAGCACTTGGCTACTCGCTGCTAAGCCACAGTCTGCCTTCACTTACGTGTCTTCCAAGTGGATGAGAAATGTATTTCCAGTCTGCCTCTGTAAAGCCGCGGCGATGACTACAAGATTAGACAAATTACATGAAATGCTTTGAAAGGTGAAAGCACTCTGAAATTTAATCGAGAAGGCTAGGGGACCGTATTCTGCTGTGAATCACTGGGGCCTACACTGAAATTTTATGGTGTTACAAATGGGATCAATTGTGATCATTTCTGTTTTTCCTATAATCAAAAATATTATTTGAGTTGACATGTGAAGATTTGTGAGTAAATTTTATGAACTAAGGATGCACATGTTTTGTCTTCTTTTCAGAACAACAGAGCAGTAGTAAAGGCAGATCTCTAAAGGCGTGGCCAGTGATGCCAGCCTTTTGGGATGTGCACCCAAAGTGCAGCCCAAAGCCCACGCATTTACCACAAAGCACCCACCCTGCAATTAAACCTGAACACTGAGGTTTTCACTTAAGAAAAAGCAGCTTAGAAAGACATGTGTGCCATAAGGTCACCACCACCAGGCTGAGCCACAAATGCAGAAAATGAATAGGGGAAGGGACAATGAGTGACCACACAACTTTGGGAGTTAGAAGGCACGTGGACCGGTAGAGAGGAGAGCCCAGAACCAGCTGGAAGATCACAGAGCACTCCTAAAAAGTCGACAGCCTAAACTACAGCCTAAACTACGTCCGGTCCGAAAGGAGAGGGGTTTTCAATGAAAGAGTTTTGGGACCCAGTTACAAAGTAAACTCTTAGACCATCTCCCCAGAAAGTGCACACCAGGCATTCCAGTGGGACTTAGCAGAGTAAACACAAAGCTTCCTGGACCAGGAGCTGCCCGGAGCAGTGTCTGTCCAGGCACCAGCTGACTCCAGGGATATTCAGTGAAAGGATGCCCACCGCACGTCGAGGCCCACATGGCTGCTTGCTCCCTGCGGCTCCCAGAGGGCCACAGCCTCTGGCTTGCCCCCAGGAAGAGGCAGGAACAGCCCAGGTGAGGTGCATTGCGGTCCTGAGTGTGTCTTAGCAGCACTGTCCTGCCAGGTTACCATACAGTGACACTACAACTGTCACCAACCACCAGCCACGTCACAGGGCTCGCTGCATGCAACCATTTCCCGCCCGTAAATAAGAGGTGGAGGAGACTCCAGTGTGAAGGAACGGTTACCAATTAAGCCTTGGCTTTTCAACTCAAAAAGGACTACAGCTTTACGTTTTCATAATATTTGCTCCAATGTTTCTCAAATAATTTCTCAAACATATCTGCATCATTTACATTTTTATTTTCATTTTTTAATGTATTTAGTACAGGGTGTATAGGGTCTCACTACACAGATCGGATTCACAGTGATTCTTCTGTGTTCAGCCTCGCAAGCGCTGGGATTACAGGCGCACGCCAGTCTCAATTGCTGTCTCAGCACAACCCAGGGGCAGTACCAGCATGGCTCACTGGGGATCGAACCCTGGCCACTGCGCTCTGCCTTAGCAGGCACTGTAGTCTGCTGGGCTATCTGGCTGGCCCTTGAGATATCCTGAGGCTGGGCACAGGTCTAAACATGAAATTCACTTGTTTCGGTCGCCTCACCCACCCAGCCTGAAGCTCATTGTGCGCGGTGCTGTAGGCACCTTTGCTGGTCAGTGAGGCTGCGCGGGGAACCCTCCGCCTGTGGGATCTTTCACTTGGCAGTGAAAAAGGTTTGGATTTTGGAACATCTCAGGTTTTAATTTTTCATTAGTATTTCTACTTTAAAAAAAATTAAGTTTATCGGTTACTTATAGATACGATGATCACGCCCATCTTAGGGAGTGTGCGCCTGACCGTGGTACACACTGTGAGTCTTGCTTTTTTCTGTTCCCCTCCCTTCCCTTCAGCTTCTCTTCCCTCACTTTTTTTTTTTTTGACCGGGGGTTTGACTTCGGGCCTTTGGGTTTGCTGGGCAGGCCTTTTTTTTCTTGGTTCTTTTCCCCGGCCCCCAAACAGTGGTTAGCTGCCACGAAGTAGGTGGCAATTCCTTAACCGCATGCCGTGCTGTTGGCCCCAAGGGCCTCTTCCATCCTTGTCACGGGGAGTGCTAACCCTTCTCCTGCCATACTGCACTCCCTGTTTATCTTGCTTCCATTTTATCTCTTCCCTCCCTCCCTTCTCCTCTTCTCTCCCTAGTTCCCACTGGAACACTGTCTTCCTATTTCCCAACAACTATTGCACATTTTGGTCTTTATTCACACCTTGATTTCTCATACCAGATGAACAGTATGATGCTTACACTTGTGTGTCTGATTTATTGGACTTCAGGTACGCCCTCAAGGTGCACCTATATTGCTAGAGACGGTTTGAGTGTATCCTTCTTTATGGCTGAGTAGTACTCCATTGCATGAAAAATCTCACGTCGTCTTTATCCACTCCTCAGTTGGTGGGCACTGGAACTGTGTCCAAGATGTAGTTACTACCATTTGTGCCATCAGACATGTTGGTGTGCATAAATTGCTGTAGTATGACGCTCTTAATTCTTTCAAGAAGATACCAAGAAAGGGCATAGCGGGGCCAAATGGGATGTCTAGTCCTAGTTCTCCAAGCAGTCTCCACACTGACTTCCCCAGCAGCTGCACAGCCTGCACTCCCACCAGCAGCGGGGGAGGGCTCCTTTTCCCCCACAGCCTCTCCAGCATGTGAGTGGTTGATTTCTGGATGGCAGCCGTTCTTTCTGAGGTAGATGGAATCTCAGTGTTGTTTAAATCTGTGTCTCTTGAATGATCAATGATGCTGAGCAGTTTTTATACATTTATTTGCTGTTTCTACTTCTTCATCTGAGAAGTGTGTAGATGCCCATTTTGGATTAGGTCTTTACATTTTAAGGGGGGGGGTCTAATTTTTTTTCAGTCCTTTATATATTATGGATATTAGTTCTTCATCTGTTGACTAGATGATCAAAATTTTTCCCACACTGTTGATAGTTTCTTTTCTTTTCATGTATCTAGTACACGGTCTCCGGGGTCTCACTACATAGATTGGACTTGTAGTGAGCCTCCTGTTTTCAGCCTCCCAAGCTCTGGGATTACAGGCAGGCACCACTGCACCCAGCTCAGCTGCTCTCTCAGTGCCCCGGAGGTAGGGCCGGCACAGCCTGGCACACTGGGAATTGAACCCCGGGCCTGCATCTGCCTATGCAGGCACTTTAATGTGCTGAGCTCTCTGGCCAGCCCTGTTGGTAGTTTCTTTTGCTGTGTAAAAGCTTTTTAGTAAGATAAGATCCTAGTTAATTCTTTGTAATATTTCCAACTCAGAGTTTTGTTCATAAAGTCTCTGCCTACGCCAATGTCTTCAAGAGTTCTACCTATTCTCTCTTCTTGTATATTTAGTATTTGTTATAATATTTCAGTCTTTGATCCATTTTGATTTTAGTTTAGTGCCTGGTGAGAGACACGGTCGAGCTCTAGTCCCTGGAATGAGGAAAAGCCCGCTTCTCCAGTACCACTGATTGGAGAGGCCATCTTTCTTCCAGTGAAAGTGCTCGGCTTCTCTGTCAAAGACAAGGCGGCTGAGTGTGTCTCCAGTTGTTTCCGCATCTTCTAATCGGTTCCACTGATCTTTTGGTCTTTTTTTGCCAGTGCCATGCTGTTTTTATCACAGTAGCCTTGTAGTACAGTTTCAAGTCATGGACTATGACATCTTTTGCCTTGCTTTGCCTTTGTTGCCCAGAATATTTTTATTTATTTATTTATTTATTTATTTGTTGTTGCCCAGAATTGCTTTTGCTATTTTAGGTCTCTTCTGGTTCCAAATGAATTTTAGGATTCTTGGTCACTTTTATTTGCCTTTTAAGAAGGACTACTGCTGGGGCTATAGCTCTGAGGCATAAGCGCCTGCCTGGCAAGCACGAGGTCCTGAGTTTGATTCCTGGCACCAAAAATAAATAAATAAATGAAATACTACTTAGCTTTAAAATATTTTTTTTCCCAAATTGGAGAAATACGAGGAGAATGATGAAAGAAGATGACAAAAAAGGCAATTGTAAGTCGCTCCTGAGTCAGGTGGCCAGGTTACTCGGTGCTTCCAGGTAATGCATGCTCATCAGCACTGCCAAAACACCGCACACCTCCTTCCTACATGAATCCATTAGCCGCAGGCTGACACTGCCCCCGAGCGCACCGTGCCGCTCGGGCTCTAGAGCACGGTGTATCTAATGGACTCTTAAGTCTCTGTGGAGTCTCTCAGGCATTTTAAACTAATCTAGCCAAAACTCTTGGGCTTCTCCTTTAAATTCACTCCTTCTCCAGAACTTTTGCTTGCTTAGGCCAGAGTTGAGGTGTCACCGTGTCTCCCACAACTGTCACCGGCAGACTCTTTGGGAACCAGGCACACACAGCCACTGCTGGCCTGCATGAGTGACAGGCCAGGTAGGTGGCTTCACTCACTCACTGTCTCAACACCTCCTGTCCCCATTAATCCTTTCGGTGTGGTCAGCATGAACATTTGAAAGGTAAAGCAGACCACCTCACCGCTCTGAAGCTTTCCCCTTACCTTTGGGTTTTAAAACATAATCCGAATCCCACCAGGGCTGGTGCTGCTGTCCTGACTGAGTCCCTGGTTCCTGCCCAGGTCTCTGGGCTCCTCCCTGGCTCCTACCTGTTAGAGCTCTGTCCCCAGTGCTCTTCCTGCACAGCTGTGTGGCTTCCCCCTCTGCTGTCACTTAGGCCTTTCTTCCTGGCCAGCTTCTCAGAGCAGCCCCACTGAAAGAGCCTCTCTCCCCTGTCTCTGCCCTTGACCCTGTTGACTTTGCTTCCCATGGGCCATTTCATGTCCCCACACTGCCCTAGAGCTGGTTCAGGGCCAGAGCTCTAAGCTCACACCCTGTAGTTACCTGTTTCTTAACTACTGCCACTAGAATTCTGGAAGCTCCTCAAGGACAGGGATAGTTTTCTGCCCCTGGATCCAGGGACAGAGTCTGCACACATCTGCGCCTGAGGGGTACCTGCTCCATAGATGGACGGTACTCCCGACCCCATGATTCTGACATGCCAGGAGTCACCTCACCTTGATGGCTTTCTGAATGTTAATGCACGAGTCTCTGATGGTTGTGAGCAGCTTGTTGAACCGCCCCATCTCCTGGACCAGCACGGTGTTCATGCTCTGATTGTACGTCGTCGGGTACCTCCTCATTGCGGCCTCAATGTCAAAGTTGTTGGGAAGTTTACCCAGGATGTCACTGGCCACTTCGTTCACGACTTCTTCTGATGACTTTGCCCCCGTACCTGCAGAACGAGACTAGAGAATCCAAGCTATCACTCAGAAAGGTCTAGGACGAGATGGCAAGGGAAATCCTAGGGCCTCTGAAGCACTGTTAGAATGGACACCATCCTGCTACTTTACTTATGGCTCATCTCCATGCAGATTTATTAAATAATGATAACAGCAGGTTCAGTGGTGAGGAGGTTTGGAGGCTGCCCAGGAGGAGCAGGAGCCAAAGAAGGCGCCACTCGGGAGGCATGAAACCCAGGAGAAAGCTGGCCCCAAATGTGCCTGCTAATAGCTTGGGTGCCCAGCGGTGGCCAAGAGCACAGGTGGGGCTTTCTCCTTGAATCCATGGGGCAGAGAAAATCAGCTTAGCTCCTTCATGCAGCTGGAAGAGTGACAGAAAAGTTACGGACTTTGGTGACTCATGCCACAAGCCTGGAAGGAGCATTTCCATTCCACTTTCGGTTTTTGTTTATAGTAGCGCTGTGTAAGCAAATCTATGCTTTCTGAAAAACCTCATCAACTCTTGAAAAACAAAGGAGTGTGTGTGTTTCAGGTTTCGATAAACCCACAGACCCCGTGGGTGTCCTGTTTCCACATTACTGCATGGCCCTGTGTTTATGTTTCTGAAGATTTACTGAGTCGTGTTTCTCATACGCTTTTATACCCTCCAGGCAATGACTGATTTTGGTGCTACTAGTGTGTGCGTGGATGTAAAGGGCTTTTTTGCATCATTAGAAAATACCACCATGGAGGGGACTAGAAAACACTTGTGTCACTAGAGCACAGCGCCCCCAGAGTCCTGCTTTCTTGGCACCTTTGCTGTTTGTCTCCTAGGTCCAGCCCCAGTTTTAGACTCTAGAAAAAGTGAACAGGACAGCAGATCAGGGCCCAGGTCCTGGAGCCACCACGAGAACAGCTTGCCAGGCCTTGGGTCCCGGCTCCCCACTGGGACTTAACATTTCGTGCCTGCTTTCTAGCTGTAAGATGGGGGTTCAGAAGACTTCCACCCTCGGAGGGCTGTTAGGGGTTATCAGTGGGGTACACACACAGGGATGCTGCAGATACTCAGTACTGCTGCGAATGTGTTAACCGATACCCGCTTTGCCCAGAGATGCCACACAAACAGCAGTGAGAATTGGGCTGCTGGGATGACGTGCTGGGCTGCACACCCAGCCTAGCGTATTGTGGTTTCTTCTGGTCACTACGGCAACTTCAGCTGTGTGGTTTCCTTTGTTTTGACAGGTCGGCAGGTCCTCTTGAGGGACGCCCGCGTGAGGACAGTGCCGCCCAGAAGCCCCGCCCACTCCACCCTCCCACGCTTGTTACTCTTGCTGTGCTACTGTTAGTGGCTCATGCTTCAGATGTGATGTAATCTCACAAAATGTTAGTGTGTGAGGGACTGTGTCTATGTAAGCTAAAATCATTACGGAATGGCTTCTAAAGAGGAGTCACTAAAATCAGTGGTCGTTCAATTAGTAAGAGACTGGAAAATAAAAAGGAGTCAAATCCTAGATGGATTCTATTTCCTTAGTATTTTTAAATTCTTTTTTCCACTTTAAAGAGATTAGAAGGACGTTATGTTCAATGTACTGGGGGAGTGGTTTACACAAGGAAGATGATTCTGGAATTCCTAGAAGGGCAGAAATATTCAAAGAAAAGTCTTGGTTCCGAAACAGAAGATTAGTGGGAAAAACCCCATCTGCCCATGTACTCTGTTTAAAGTCGTATTTCAGGGATGTATTAGGCGTGCTACATGGAGTGATTAAAAAGTGTATTACAACGAAAGACAGGGTGCCACTAATCCCCCCTAAAATACTGCTCATTGATTTGAGTGTATTTTCCAAAGCAGTTCTGGAAGTTTTCTTTTCTAGCATCTGACTGGGCTGTCGCGGCCGCTTCAGTGTCTTGAGTCAACTTAAAATGTTCACCTATCATGGTCCTTTGGACTCTGGGGAGGAGCCAGCAGCCACACCAGCCAGACCTCGTGAGTCAGGTGGCTGAGGACACAGCATCTGCTTCACGCTCTGCCTTTCCTCGGATGGTGCCTGGCAGCGGCAGCGTGCACGTCTCTGACCACATCTCATAAAGGCACTGTTAAAAGAGCACTCCAGAGCTGCTTCGGAACTCGGCCAGAACAGTGGGATGAGGGTGTGTGACGTGAGGGGAGGGCTGTGGGGGGCTCACGGGGGTGCACCCTGCACCGTGACCCTGCACTGGATCGCACCTCGGACGCACCTCTGCTCTCCATCCAAGTGCCCCTGTGCCGCACCAACCTCAAGCCTGGGCACCTGGTGGGCCCTGCGCACGCCACACACCTGTGTGAGAAGAATGTTGTCAAACAGCAGCTGCGTCTCCGCCTGGTCTTTCGTGATGTCCGCGTTGGCATTCATCCCAAAGACCTCTGGTGCGGGCATCAGCGGCAGGGTCTTGGTGTAGTCGATGTAGCTCTTGTGCTGCAAAGACAAAGGGGGACACGGGGCTGAGGGTTGGTGACACTGTAGGATTCACCCCAAGAAGAGAGCTCTGCAGCTGCACACCGGAGGGCTTTCATCCTCTGGAGGCCAGGGACGAAGTTTCAAAAGCAATCTGGGCACATTTTGAGAGTAAGGGATGTGTGACACTCAGTTGGAATAGGTTTTCTGGTAGCATGGGGAAAGGAATTCTGGTAGCCAAATTCAGAGCTTTCTTTGAGGAAATGCT